GCCTTTACTGATTTGTAACAAATGGTTACAAAACTTTCGGCATTCTTAAACGTTGTTTTACACGTTTATCTCTTCACTTGCTGCCAGTGATGAAAGGAAGTCTGATGTGCTTGTCATTTTGCTGAAGTTTGCACTCCCCAGGGCTTTTTGACCCTAATGGGCATCCGTTGGTAAGGTCTTACTCCAATATAAAAATACTGCTTGCATTCAATGATTTAAGTATCTATCTACTGCCTCCTATCGCCGGGAAAAAGACACACTGCCACTTTAACATTGTTATGCCAATAATCACCACTAGGGATGAACAATATATCGGCATCGATATCGGTATCGGCCGATGTTAGTCATTTATTAACACATCTTTATCGTCCGATAAATAAAGCCGGGCTGATACTAACAACCAATATTTTTGCCATCTTGTTTCCATTTGTTAATCTGTTTCGGAGGGTGAGGGGGCGATGTGTATTTGTTTAGTCATGTGACGGTGATTGTAATCTTCTCAAAAGCGTAAATGTGTGTGTACTTAACGTAAATTCAGCTTGAATCATTTTCATTCTATACAAAAATCTGCTGATTTTAGAAGCATTAATGTCAGTATATCGGTATCAGCAAATACCGGTTATCGGCCACAACAGTGATCTTAATACCGGATAATGGTATCGGCCCAAAATTTCATATCGGTGCATCACTAGAATCCACTGTTCTTCGTTGTCTTTTATGATGACAGTAGGATCTTTACAGAAGCACCAACAATGATTTCCTGTCCTTAAATATATTTCTAATCAAATAAACGATTTACTGAAGCTGAGACCTGTCTAACTTGTTTAGTGAATGTTATGTTAGTATCACTTCAGTATAATAAACAAACTGTGTGTATTTCTATGCCTTTTAAAGTTATACCAGAGAGACCAGTAGTGGCTTTGCTTTAAAGATTTCCTTCTTCATGTATCATCTGCTAAAACTTTGGCTTAAACCTGAATTCCAAGTAAGGTTGAACGATGGGATGAATTATTCAACCAACTGCTATTGGCCAAGCCCTTCGCCAGTCTTTCTTTTAAGTTATTTAATTAGTCTCACAGATTGGGCACTGCAAATTTCCACATCAGATCAGACACTTTTTTGCAAAAATTATTCTATGCGCATGTAGATATTACACATAATTTGAAAGCTATTATTCCAGTGATATATAGCAATCAAGGGTTCAGCTATAAATGTAGAGATAGGAAATGCTTTTGTCAAACCACTCGGAAATTCTAAATTATGTCCGACTCATTGACAGAATAGAGCCATCTCCAACAAGCATGGTCTTTTTTACATCAGAAGTTCTTCCAACAAAAGTACTACAATAAAATACTTGGTCCCCAAAAGTCTTATGTTCACAAAACAATGCATTTCCCTCAGATTCCTCTCATATCTTCGGTTAGCCTCCCAATGTTAGCTTAAAACTTTTGAGTGACATCTTCCCAAACCAATAAGTGAAGGGTTGCACTCCCTCTGCTGGGGCTAAAATCGTCATCCATTGGCTGACAGGTTAGAAGTACTGCTCTCTATTATCTCGTGTGTAGCGGGAACAAACTGCAGCACAGTTTTTAGTTGATTGACGCATCAAATAACCATTGAAGTTGGAAAACAACAGAATCTCATGTGGAACCCTCATGGCCTGCTTTCCCGACCTGAGTAAGAATGATCGTCACCCATCATCTTTTTTTGGGCTCACAAATATTGCTTGGGAATGTTTTATCCATCGCCCAACCGCAATTCCAAGCCTACTAAACATTTTATGAAGTTATCTTTGAATCACACTTATCATCCACTCAGTTTTCGCCCATGTGACAAAAGGCTGTTGATGGTTTCTTGATGAGTTTTTGGACATTAATTTAACAGTTAGAACTTGGTAGATTTCTGGATTTTCAGGAAAATTACTGTTAGAAAAGTCTGTGGTGGCACCTTGCAGCTGAAAGAAAGCAAAGTGGCACAGAGTAAAAATGAGATTCTCTTGGAAATATCCGGCTAGGGTTGGAAGGGAGATGAAGAGACTGAAAGGGAATAACAAAGCCAGATTGGATGGGGGAGAGATTTGGGCCGGAACCAATGAAACTGCATAAAAATAGGAACCAAATCAGGGAAAGAAAAAGTAACTAAGGAAAGAAAATCCTGAAACACCAGTCCAGGAAAAGATGGGCTGACAGAAACATGAAGGGAAATAAGAAAAAAAGGGCTTTTGGGGTAACAAAGTAACATGCTGGTGGAACGATGAGTAGAACAGAGTGTGTTGGACAGGGGGCAGGACGGCGTGCATTCACCCTTCTGATCTCTGATAGGCTGAGACGGCGTCACGCGGGCTGTGCATAATTTAATCAGATGTGCGTCTCTAAGCTAGCAGCCATGACTGACTCTGGTTCTCTCTATGGGTCACTGGCAGTGTTGGGCAAGTTACTTCAAAACTGTAATGCATTATTTATTACTTGTTACCCTCATTTTAAAGTAATTCATTACATTACAATATTACTGATTTTAAAATGTAAGGCATTACACTACTTTTGCATTACTCTAAGTTGCTTTCACCAAAACAACTTCAGTATGAGTTTGGTAATCTGATGCCTGGTGAACTCATGACACATCCGGTGGAAGGTGATGTGGTGTCTGAGCTAGGATTGCTGTTAAAAACAATTCTTTAGAAGGATTGTTTATGTAATAAATGCAACAACAATCTGTACTCTCAGCACGCTGCCATCTTAGATTAACTGAGCAGGGAGTGAGGTGGTGGGGGCTCCAAGCCTATATTTGCCTTGGTCCCCAAATGCCTTGATACGGCCCTGGATGTGGGACTGACTTCTGGGGTGATGTGATTCTATCACATGTATAAATATTAAATGCTTATCTATTATTGATTTTCACTGGTAAACATGAGTATTGGGGATAAATCTACCTACTTTTTTCTTTTCAAGCACTTTGTTTTGTTTTCTTGATTTTATTAGAATAATTTCCTGCCCTTTCTCTCTCTGACCGTCCTGCATGCTGCATGTTTTCTCCGTCTTCCAGAAAACCCGTTTCCTAGATTTCCTACTTTCTAACTAATCAGCCAAAGGGATCTACCGAACCAGCAGTAATGAGTTGAAATCACCGGAGCCCAGATTAACTCAGCTGAGGCAAAGCACGTTAGAAAAGTACAGAATACCAGAGAACATGCGCTGATATGAACGATCGCAGGTGAATTATTTTGTTTTAGTGGAGCGATTTTGTGAATGTTACAGCGGCCGTGTGGAGGACGCCGCTGGACTATTTGAGCCGGTACCGCTGCGTCCTCTCTGCCTGCAAAGCTGAGTCCGTAAATGACGTCATATATGCAGATACCGGATCTTGTTTCGGGTTTCCCGCAATTAGAATTTTTAAGAAACGCAGCTTGATTCTGGGTTTAAAAATGCATTGTAATTACCGCGTTACTGACAATTGTACTGAGTAAATATGACCATTTTCTTTCCCTGTAATGCCTTACATTACCACATTACAGCAAAAAGCAATGCATTACAGTAATTAATTACTTTTGTACCGCGTTACTCCCAACACTGGTCACTGGTGGCATTTATTTGACTGTAAATGTGATTAAAACGTCCAGATCCTCCTGAAAACATAGAATCTCATTAGTTTGGAGCTTGATCAGCATAAACTCAGGTTCAAACTCATCAGGTCATTTACAGAAGGTATGTGTTCCTGGTGGAAGCTGATGCAACCGAACACCTGTAATGAGGACGTTTGGATGTTTCTGTTCTGTGTTGGTTAACAGAACAAATAATGACCTTTACATTTCTAGTGTCACTATTATGATGCATTAAAACTGTGGTACAGTCTCCAGGCTCATATGCATATTTGACCTAAATGAACAAACTGGGGATTGCCAACCCTACCCTGGAGAATGAGTGATGGTTCATGTGTCCGCCACTGAGGACACCACAGTAGTCTGGTTTCCTCCCGTCCCTAATCACTACTGAAGACTTAACACTAGGATTTTCTCACTTGGTCTTTATGTTGCTCACAAATCTGTAGTCTAGAATTCACTTGCACCGCTTAAGTAGCGACTAATTAAAGTAAATAATCACAAGGTAGTTTTCATGGTCTCATAAAAGCTTTGTGTGGATATTCTCGCTCCACGTGAGTGATGGAGCCTCCCACTTATGTCACGTGTGGAATATTTTTCCAGACAAATATTCCTATAAGGTAGTCTAAAAGTTACTGTGATGTGTGAGATAGGAGGGGTTGAGGTACTTGGAAAAAGGAGATTTTCTTAGTTTGACCAGTTTGGTAAAAAAAAAAAAAAATTGTAAATTTTGGTCACATTAGCATGATTGTTGTCCACGTATCTCAATCAATTTGCTGTTTGGAAGATTGTAAATTAGCCAGTTTGATTAGGTTGTTTCTGAAAATTGACAAGTGCATACGTGGGTTCTCTCCGGGTACTCTGGCTTCCTCCCACTGCACAAAAACATGACTATCAGGTTAATTGGTCTAAATTATCCTTAGGTGTGTGTGTGTGTGTGTGTGTGTGTGTGTGTGTGTGTGTGTGTGTGTGTGTGTGTGTGTGTGTGTGCGTGCGTGCGTGCGTGTGTGTGTTTTACCCTGCCTGGTTGCCCGTCGGCTGCTGGACACAGGCACCAGCCCCCCGTGACCCTGGATGGATGGATGAAAATGGACAAACTTTCACACAAACAGGCCCATGATCTACTGGCCTCACCACTTCCAGCCCTGCTTTCACTGTGGTTCTCAAAATGTTCAGATTCTGTTTGGAGCATTGTGTTCTATACATTAGTTAGGGTGAACAGACCTTTGCTTTCCGAATAAAAGGGCAGTGATGACAGAATTCCTGCCTTTAGTGGCTGAGTGACTCAACTCTGGTCAGTCAGCAGCAGCTTCTGTAGTAATTATCAGTGCATTATAATTATTTTGCTACTGGTGTGTGTTTTCTGTGTATGACGGCTTTCACTGCGTGTATTGTATCTGTGCAGTGCCAGAGCCTGCTCCCACTAAGCCCAGTCGTGGTCCATCTTACCACCGCCAACCTTCCAGCCCTACGCTGCCCCTCTCCTACTCCTCCTCCTCTCCCCCCTCCTACTCCTCCTGTTCTTCTGGCAATGCCAAGCACCCCCCCCTGTGGTAGCCAACTCCTGACTCAGACTCCCCCTCAGCAACAGTGCCAGTTGTCCTCTGCCAGTGCTCGCTACCCACCCAGAGAGGTGCCCCCACGCTTCCGTCAGCAAGAGCCCAAGCAGCTTCTGAGGAGAGGCCAGCCGCTGCCTGCAGGAGCCCTCTGTGCTTTCACTCCCTCCTCCTCCTTGTCTTTATCCTCATCACCTTACGCCTCTTCTGCCTCCACCAGTACCAGCAGCACTACCCCAAACTCTGCCACGTCTTCTGCAAACGAGCAGCACCCAGGTTTGTGTCGCTGTGGTCGGTTTGTGTTTGTGGAGCAGATTCCTGCTCTGTTCTCCTGTCGGTGGTTAATGTGTGCAAATGATCTAAGGTCGTCTCTGTGTGTCTCGGTGAAATGGTGAGTGTGTATTTGTGCTTACTTTATACCTCCTCCACTGTTCATCTTCTAAGACTTTGTTCAGATTCATTCACATCACCCGGCTCTTTTCACGCCAGAGATTCAAAACAGAAGTCTGTAATGGTTTTATGGCAGTTTAAGGCCCTGTGCACACGTAGCCGGGGATCTGCCAAAACGTAGTTATTTTTCTACGTTTTGGCCTGCCATCCACACGAAAACGGAGTTTTTTCACACGAAAACGGATCTTTTTAAAAACTCCGGCCAAAGTGAAGATCTGCGTTTTCTCCGTTTTGGGTGTCTGCGTGTGGACGGACAAAACCGGAGTTTTAAGGTCCGCAACGTCACTTTCCGCGACAAAAAAATGCTGACATCACGTGTGCGACCTGTGTTTACACTAGCCGACAGCATGGATGCCCTCAGAGCTGCGCTCGCTTTATCAATTGTCCAAGCGCTTTTTGCTTGTTTGTTTTTGCAAGTGGAATTACTGCTCCTTGCGGAAGACCACAGACGAAGGACGAGGTTAAGAACGGGGGAAGTACTGCCGCCTACAGGTCTGGCATGTCCATAACAACGTATTTATCAGGGTACGTGTGGACAGAGTTTGTTTTTAAAACGCGGTGGTGTGGATGCAAGTTTTTGGAGGGGCGGATATTCGTTTTTAAAAACCCCGGCTACGTGTGGACTAGGCCTCAGTCTAACCTTGAAAACAGTGTTCTGCACACATGACCTGTTAGTGCTCCACGTGTTGTGAACGACTCTAAAACATCAAATGTTTTCTCGACATCGGTAAAAACGAGTGAGTTGGAGCCATGTTTGTGTTTTGTTGTTAAATATTTGTGGAGGCCATCTTGATTTTGGGTTTGCTTCAAAAGTCCATTCGTCTCGTTAATGTGATCATTTCACAGACGGACGCCATCACCGGCTTTGTGGTGGTGAGCGAGTCATTTAGCAACACGCTTGGCCTTCTTGTTGAGAAGAAGTGAACAAAGAAAACATGCTAGTAGCATTATTTTAAAAGGCAGCTTAAGGCTTAAACCAGAGTTCATTTGTTTTAGCTTCGGTTGGCTGTCAGAATTCACAAATCGTGCCCTTTTAGCCAGCAGTCACCTTTTAACGAGTCCCTTGTCGGCCCTCTAGGATCCGTAGCTCTGAACCCGCCTCAAAGGGATGCTTCTGGAGTGTTTGTTTACATTAGCATACCAGTAATATGTTGATTTGTATCACTAATACTGCTACATTCTCCCTTTTCTGACATTGGCTTTATTTTCTTTATCAAGCTGTAAAGCTGTTTTTTTGTGCGCTAAATCGTGAGCAACACAAAGTCACGTTAACCTCAACGATGACAATGCAGGGTATCTGCGGGTCCTTAAAAAGTCTTAAATGAGCTTTTCCAAATTTAAGGCCTTAAAAATCCTTAAAAATGACAAATAATCCATAGGTCTTAAATTTTCTAAGACCCAATAAATAAGATTCTTTTATTTCTATAAAATTTTTGTGAATTTCTAGTTTGTGTTCAGCATTTTTTGTATATGATATTGGCGTAAGCGGAACCGTACACATTCAGTTGGTTGTGAAAGGGGTCTATTTTTAGATGAGCACATTAGCTGGTTAAGCTAGTGGGAGCTTGCACCATGGGGAAGTGCAAGTTTAATGGTAACTGGATGGCTAATCCCACGTTCGCGACGTGGTTAGCACCGGTTCCAGGCAATAGCTGGAAATTATAGCTTAAACTTAATTTAAAAAATAGCTTAAATTTGGTCAAAGTGGCCTTAAAAAGGTCTTAAAAAGTCTTAAATGTGGCTCCCTTAAGCCTGCAGATACCCTGCAATGTGAGGATGCATACCTCTGTTCCACAATGCTGTCATGGTTAGGGCTTTGAGCCCAGGCTAGCATGAGCTTCTGCTCACGTCGTTGTTTAGTTTCTCCTCTCTTGGGGTCTTTGTTCTTTCTTTCGATCAGCCATGCTATGCAACTCTGGAGCCTTTCAATACAGACTCAGCACTGGCTGTTAAAGCTTCTGGAAAACAGATCTGCAGCAGCTGCCGTGCACAGCTAGCTCTGCAGAGGTAGCCGTTCTTTGTGCCAATGTGTGTACCACCAGCCTAAGGAATCAGGCCAGAGATGTCTGTTTAGGGGCTCATTTTGAACTTGTGCTCCTTGTTCTGTTTGATGATTTGGTCGAAATAAAGCTGAGACAAAGATAAAGCGTTATTTTAGCACACACAGGCACAAGAAAAGGATTTAAAAATATGAAAAAGCGGCTCATGGTTTCCTGAGCTGTGGGGCCAGGAGCTCATTTTGGCTGCAGGCCACAGCAGCGATGCAGACACTGTCAAGCAAAATCAAACAAAAACGTCTCCCCTTTGGGTTTTATATGCGTTAGGATGCCCTGGTTCTCTGTATTAACCTATAACCTCTTGGTCCAGTAGTCGTTGTGTTGCTTGACCTTCATCTTGTCCTTGGGGGTGTCCATACAACGCAGCCACTGGCAGGGTTTCCCCCTCCTTCACGCTCTGGTTTTTGTCCTAAGGGCTTCCGATCCACAGTCCATTTCTTTCATGTCATCTTAGCAAATAGCCTCAAGCTGGCAGCACTTCTGGCATGAAACTAGAGGGAAGGCATTGAAGTCAGATTAGCTGATGTGCAGTTTTAATCCAGAGCTTCTGCTTTATTTATGCTCATATCACAATTATTGTAGCAGATTTAAGAAATTGTTGGACTGTGTCCGGGTCAGAGTCGAAGTATTTCTGCATTTAAGGACATTATTGTGCGCGTCCATCATCTTTGTCTTCTTGTTTCTAAATCAATACTATGTTGAGTGTTGATCCGCTGTGAGGCTACGACGACAGCTCGTAACCGACTGTGTCTACTGGTGACTAAGTCACAAGAACATAAGTAAACCTCACATAGAACCAGACTGAATGTAAACGGTGCATTTTAGTGCGAACATGAACATTTTCACGCTATAGTTGTTTATTGGCGATTTTGTCGGACACTCTTTTTGTCCTACGATGCTCCTCGCCACTTTGGGACTTTTGGAGAGAAATGTTCTCAAGTTTTTTTGAACAGCTTGCCAGAGACAAACTAGCAGGAGGGCTGTGTGACTTATCCAGGAAACGACTGGTCCATTCTAAAAACTTAACTTTCCCTAATTTGCTGCCAGCAGTCAAAGCCCTGTGAGGTGTTGGTTTTGTTGTCCCTAGGGATGGGTACCTTTGACATTTGAATCGATCCGGTACCAATTCCCGGTACCTAGGAATCGATACCGGTACTTAACGGTACCAATTTTCAAAACTTTTGAGTGTTTATTATTTTAATTCTCGTTTATAATTAAATATATATTTTTCTCAATATATAACAATATTTGATAAATATCACGATAAATAACATTCAACTGTTTGTATTTTAACATCGTCCTTGTAGTTTTATAAGCTGATAATTAAACTGAAGCAAACATCTTTACTGTGAACTAAATTTACTGTGTATCTTCATTCCTTTTACCGTCTTTTTCATTTGATTTTTCCTACTGGGAAGTTAGAATTTCCGAGGAGAAAGCGAACGCACCATTAGCTGATAACAATTGTGGCATAGGAAGCTAACATAACAAGCTAACGTTATCTTAAACAGTTTATTTAGCTGCTGGAGCAGATTAAAACGATGACGCCTCACACTTAGATCGTTGTCGCTGGTTTCATCTTCACCCAATCACCCGTCGCATTTAGTAAAGTGAAGCCAAACTTTAGAGCGCGTTCATGTTCTTCTAGTCGGAAATTCGGAGTTCCGAGGAGAAAGCGAACGCACCATTAGTGAAACGGAAGCTAACAAATCAAGCTAACGTTATCTTAAACATTTTATTTACCTACCGGAGCAGATTAAGATGAGGATGTCTCACTTACATTCGCAGCTGTCTAGGCAAGTTCTCGTTGTGAAGGACAGGCACCGAAACGAGGCACCGTTTCAAATGAAGTGAATCGGTGCTCGGTCAGTACCTTAAAAAGTACCGAATTCGGTACCCATCCCTAGACTCTGTCCTCTAAGGTAGGTGGCGTTCTAATTTGGAGTTTAAAGGAGAATTCACAGTTTGTCATTAGTTAATATGTGAATTTAGCAGCATCACTTCTTCACCACGCTTAGATCAACTAAAAAAAAGCTCTAAATATTCGAGCAGGCTATCACACAATGTTGCTCCAGTCTCTAGGATAGCCCCCTGCCAGGTTCGGGGGCATTTAAATCCCACACTCGTATAACCTCTGACCCTTCTCGCATTTAATTGTCTCACCAGACAGAGACCCCCCACCCCCCGTCCCCTCTCCATACTTCTGTCATGCTCGCTAGCATGTCTACAGCTGACTGGGGACCATTAAGGGTTCTGAAGCAGCCAGCAGCCGTCCAGACAGGCTTCCCACTAGCAGGTGCTGAAACAGGGTGGGGGGGCTCTTTAAGATGGGTGGGAAGTGCAGCAGAACAGCTGTTAGCTGGTCATCCAGACAGCGTGCTGCCAGACGGGGCTCTGCTGGTTTCTGTGTGAAACACTTGGCTCTTTCATTGACACACGCATACAAACACACACACACACGCACCATACAAACACGCACACACACACGCACCATACAAACACACACACACACACGCACGCATACAAACACACACACACACACACACGCACGCATACAAACACACACACGCACGCATACAAACACACACACGCATGCATACAAACACACACACGCACGCATACAAACACACACACACACACACACACACACACGCACGCGGTGTGAAATGAAACACTTTAAGGTTTTACACTTCTGAAAGTAGAATTTCTGTTTGTTTTAATACACATCAGTGCTTAAACATGTTTCTGCCCTTGAAGAAACCAAACTTT